GACAGACAGGGAGGGGAGAAAAGACAGGAATTCCGCCTCCCAGCCTCGAACCGTGAGGGTTTCTGCGGTTGGCAGCCATGGGGTGTGGTGACGGGTCCCAGCAGCCCCTGATGCTAGTCCACCCAGAGAGCTGTGTGGGGCTGGAGCCTGAAGGCTGGGATGGTGCCCAGGGAGGTTCCCCAGGGAGCAAACAGCCCTCACCTCCAGGAAGATTTTGATGGCCTTGGAGCAGGTGACACCAGTGGTCCCGCAGGGGATGTTCTCGGTGATGATCCGGAAGGTTCTGTTGGTGGTGGCATCGCCCCCACAGTAGTCCTGGAAATGGGAAGAGCTGAACCTGAGCGCAGGTGGCTGGGGACACAGGCGTGGACATCCTGGGGGCAGAGCGGGGAGGGCTGGGAGGGGCGCACCTGGGCCAGCGTGTACTCGCAGCTGCCTTGGAAACTGTAGCGCTCCCCATCGAAGGTGATGAAGTGCCCGTCCCCGTAGGCCACGCAGGTGCCCAGGCAGGGCTGGCTGCTGCACTCCCACCTTCGGTTCCTGCACGTGCTGCATGGCGGGGGGAGGGTACGCCCTGTCACCAGGAGGGCCTGGGGCAGGGTCCCCCAGTGCCTCAGCCACAGCCCTGGCTTCCAGGGCCTCTCGGCTGGTCACTTCACCTCCCAGGACTTGGCTCTGCCAGCTGGAAGATGGCACCAAGGTGTTGCCTGGCTTGGGAAGAGGACTCGGGAAGCAGTGGGGAACTGCCCTGGTGTCCAGCTGGATTCTCATAGAGACCCCACCCTGAGCTAGGAAGGCGATGCCCCTGGGTGTCACTTCTGTCTGGCCCCGTGATTGGCTGGGCGAGGAGGCTGTGGCTCCCTGGGGCATGTTCCAGAGGACAAAGGGGACACTGGCTCTCGGGGCACTCAGGCCTCAGCCCCGCTCCCACCTCCTACAGACAGCCCACCTCCCCAGCTGGATTTAGCTGGCTGCCCTGCGCTGAAGGCCAGCCATCGTCCCCCTTCCCCATGTCAGCTCCAGCAAGAGGACTTCCCACCAACGCCCTCACTGCCTCCGGGACCCCAGACTCACCAGGTGTTGCAGTCCACCCTGATGGTGGCTCCGGGCTGGTAGATGTCCTCATTATGCACACAGGGGCAGTCCTCCTGGGCAATGCACCCCCCGTTGCCATCTGACACCAGCCCCGGGGGACAGACACAGCCAGAGACACAGTGGGTGCTGTACTGTGGGGACAGTGGGGCACAGTCAGGGGCAAGGGGGCAGCCTGCAGGGGCCTCAGTCAGCTCACCCAGCCCCCTCGTGCTGGGGACATCATGGTGAGGGGCATGGTGCAATTCCGGGGCCCAGGCTGAGGGCAGCATTGCGGGTGGGGGCGGGGCAGTGAGTACAGGGGCAGGGTGCCCTAGTGCCAGCGAGCTCAGGAGGCCAGCGAAGAGCCGAGGTCGTTGGGGTAGCAGTGTGGCTGCCCCCCAAGGGCACTCACACAGTCCACGTCAAGAGTGTGGCAGCTTCGCAGGCACTCAGCCCCGGGGGCGCCCGCCGAGACATTGCGGCAGTCCACGTACACCATGGGGGCCACACATCCTAGGCAGGGAGATCAGGCTGGCAAGGGCCTGGGGTGGGCGGCCCGGGGCACCCCGAGAGCTCTGACCGCAAGCCTGGCCAGTCGGCCCTGTGCATCTCTGACCCCATCCGACCATCTAGCGCCCTGTTGCCCTAGAATGTGTGCCCTAGCTCCAAGGGTAAGCCCCCTCCCATCTCTCTGGGAGCACCAGGCTGGGTCTGGGGAGGGGGGATGGCCAGGGGCCAGCATGGGGCTCAGGCAGGAAGGGGGTGAGGGGGGGCAGGCATTACCCATGCTGCTCTGCTCCAGGGCTCCCAGGCAACTCAGCTTCCCATGCACGCAGGAGCTGCAAGAGACGGATGGACAGACAGACGATGAGAGTCCACTCCCTCCACCTCTCCACAGACCCTAATCCCCGCCAGGCCCACTGCACCTGGGACCCCCTCCCGGGCTACGGTTTGGCTCCATGGGCTAGGGAGGCCTTGCCACAGGACCCACCATGCCCTCCCCCATGGACCCCAGGCCCTCTGAGCACCCCCTGAGCTAGGAAATGGTGCCCCTCTCTGCAGATGGGGCAAGGGCCACACTCCCACCCTAGAGTTCTGGTGACACAGTGAGTCATTTGACTGCTAACCAGGAGGTCAGTGGTTTGAACCCACCAGAAGATTTACAGCCTTGGAAACCCAATGGGGGTCACTATGAGTCAGGATTGACTCAAGGGCAGTGAGTTGGCTTCTTGGTTTCCTGGTGCTCCCCTCCAGGGCTCCCAGATGTTGAGAAACCCACAGGGTGTGGAGCAGGTGTGGCCGCAGTCCCTTGGCAGTCAGGGAGAAGGGACTACACCCGGGAGGTGATGATCGAGAGGGAACGGGGCTAGGGCCCGGCTGAGGCTCTGGCAGGCACCCCTTGAGTCCCGTGAGGAGCAGCGGGACAAGGCAGGGAGGGAGGCTCAGCAGTATGATTTGGGGGGCACTGAGTCAGGACAGGAGTTCTGTTCCTGGCTCGCCTCCTTTTCCGTGGTGGCTCTGAACACACCAGACGGGACCATCCCTCGCAGCCCTGCACCTCCCAAGTGAACCAATCTGGTGAAAATGCAGTGAGGGGGTTCTGAGCGTCCCTGCCGGAACCCCTGCCCACCCCCAGAGATGAGGATGGCAAAGCTATGTGGCTGCCCCAGACTGTTGCCTGTTCCATCGCAGGGCAGCTCCCTGCCTCCACTCTGTCTATCCCTCTGCCCCTACCCTCATTCAGGGGTTGGTGAGCGGGCCCAGTCTCTGGGGCCTGGAGGAGGAGGCCACAGCCACCCTGCCCTCCTGCCCCTATGCTCCGGGGCGGGGCCTCTTACCACACCACACCGTTGTCGTGCACGACCTCGCCTGGGGCCACCACTGTGCCACGCAGGTAGCAGGGGCACTCCTCGGCGGGCACACACGTGCCAGTGTCATCCAGGTAGGTGCCCGAGGGGCAGGTGCAGCCATCCACAGGCACGAAGGAGACATCACAGGTGGCGTCGGCCTCACTGAGGGCGCGACACGTGGGCTGGCAGGTGTCTACCACATACTCATAGCCTTGCGACTTGGGGCAGCTGCCCATGTACTTGGCTGGGGGCAGAGGGGTGGAGTGGTCAGGGGGCGGGGCTTTCCTGCAGCTCGCCCTGCCCCCAGCTGGCACTGAAGCTGCGGGAGCCTGTTTCTCCCTCCATGAAGCAGGAGTGGTGGACCCGCAAGAAGGTCCCAAGCCGTTGACTGAGCACTCAGTGGGCTCTGGGACAGGGGCTGGCCTGGCGGGGCCCACCTGCCCTCTCTGGCTGACGTGGTCAAGGCAGGTCAGGGACTGGGGGCAGTGGTCATGGGCTTGCTGTCCAGACCCCAGGAAGAGGGGACCCGGGATGTCCGTGGGCACAGAGCTGGGCCGTCCTCACCGGGATCTGCATGAGGCTTCCCCGTCTCTGGCTCCTCTCTGTCCCTACTGCCAGTGTGCACCCCCTCCTTGTCTGGGGTGGGGTGGGGCACATCCCTGAGCCCCTGGGGTGCTGATGGCCTGGTGGGGCACATGGGGCACGTGCCCAGGCCCCTGGGGTGCTGGTGGCTGGATGGAGCATGTGCCAGCACCCCTGGGGCTCCAGTGGCTGGATGGGGCTGCATGCCCAGACCCCTGGGGCGCTGGTGGCTGGATGGGGCAAGTGCCTAGGCCCCTGGGGCGCAGGTAGAGGTCTTGCCGCCCACTCACCGCAGACGCCGTTCCTCCAGCCACGCAACAGCACGCCCTTGGCGGCGCATGCTCGCACGTAGGCGGACAGCGCGGCGCACAGACAGTCCTCGGTCTTCTCGCAGTTGCACGTGTCGAACATGCAGTTCTGGGGGTAGGGACGTCAGGGGCGGCCTGTGACCCCAGCCCGTGGGATCCCCTGCCCCACCCATCCCCAAGGGCCAGGCAGGAGCAGGGGGCATAGCCTATGGGAGAGGGGCACGAAGGCTATGCCAAACGGCAGCTGGAGTGTTTGCAGACCAGCTGGTGGGCGGAAAACTGGTCCAGAAGCAAGCCCTGTGGTGAGGGGCGCCAGGGAAGTCTGAGGTTGGGACAGGTGGGAGTAAGGGGCAGGCTGGGCCAGAAGACCAGTGGGTGAGGGTAGGCTGCATGTGAGCACTGCAGGGGAGGGGTGGGGTGCCGCCTCCACGTGGGCATGAGGCAAAGGCCCATTGAGGTTGGCGCCTGGAGACCCTGTCCAGGGTAGAGCCTTGGGCTCTTGAGGGCGTCAGCTCCAGGAAGGGCTTGTCAGGCCTGTTGGGTCGGCCTGGGGAGCCTGGGTGGCCCACTGGTGGGGGACCTGGCGGATGGGGTCGGCCTGGGGAGGTCAGGTGTCCCACTGTGGGGGACCCAGTGGGTGGGGTTAGTCAGCCTGGGGAGCCTGGGTGAGGATAGAGGCCTATGAGAGAAGGCGCTGGAGGTGAATGGTGAAGTGAGAGGCTTGGGAGGGGGAGGCCAGGTCCCTCCCTCATCGCCCCCCATGCTGGAGGCGGGGCTCACCGAGTGGAAGGCTGCAGGGTTGACGAGGGAGTGGCAGGGAGCGAAGGCGCCGCCAGGGTCGGTCAGCAGGGCGCACCAGTGCTGGGCGTAGTTCTCTGGGGGGGGGGCGGGGCAGACGGTCACCCTGGGCACAGCTCTGACACCACTCACTTCCTTTGCAGTCTTGTTACCCTGCACCCACCCACACTCCTCGCACTCAGGTCGGTGGGGCGCTCTGCCCCTAGGAGTTTGGTTGCCACTCACCAGTCTGTGAGGTATTGCTTCCCAGGGTGGGGGATGCTCTTCAAGGAGGGTTTTCCACCCCGCACCCCTGCACCCCCCCCCCTCGCCTCCACATCTTCCTTCCTGATGACCCACACACCTGTCTATTGGGGTCCTCCAAGCACCGACCCCGAGAGGACCCCCCACCACGCCCACCCAGACTGGCTACCGTTCTCCACACTGAGGGAGCAGGGGTCCTCGAAGCTGTTCTTGGCGTTGGGACAGGTGGCCTGGGTCTTCCAGGTGTTGGCAAAGGCAGCACCCGTGCCCTCCACCACCCCGCTGAGGGCTGTGAAGTCGTCAGCCTGGTTCTGGTTGAAGTTTCCACACAGCCCTGGTGGCCAAGTGGGCAGGACGTGGGCATCAGTGGGCGGGCACCAGCTGAAAGCCCTTTCCCAGGGTTTTGCTTCCGGAACTATCTGAAGATGAGTCCCGATGGGGGTCAGCCTCTTCCCAGCACCACCTGAGCGGGGCAGCGAGGCTCCCACTGGTCCACCAGGCCCTTCCCGGGGCCAGTCCAATGTCAGGAAGCTCGGGGGCCTGGGCCTCCCCACCTCCCACCGGCAGCGGCCCTCAGCCTGCCTCCCCCAGGCGCCTGGGGGCCTCACCGCATGTCTGGCCTTGGTGGGCCGGGTCCAGCTGCACGTAGACCTGCATGAAGGGCACCAGCTGCACGAGCAGCTGCAGGCCGAGCCCAGTCTGCACGAGCAGGAAGAAGGATGTGGGCCTGAAGACCTTGACGTTGGCTGGGGAAAGGGGGAGGGGCATCAGAGGGCACACGGAGGCCTGGGTAGACTCTGGCCTGCCTCCCCAGCAGCTGGACAAGGGCCCACCCACTGTGTCCCTAGGGACCCTGCAGGTGGAGTGGGCCCCACTGCTGAAGAGGTAGTGCTGGGGCGAGACCCAGACAGCTGGTCAACCCAGCAGCCCCACCGCGGCCACCGTCTTTGTGGGCTGCCAAGTGAGCGCTGTTGGCCCGTGAGGGGCTCTGAGCGTGCCTGGCCCCATGGCCATGGGGAAGCCTTGCCATCCCCACTCTAGAGATGGGAAACTGGCCACGGGACATCCTGGAACTCCCCAAGGCCACACAGAGTCTGTGGGACAGAGCTGAGTACCGGCCCAGGCACTGGGAGTTGCCCATCGCGTGGAGGCACCACCTCCAGGCAGGAGCACTGGGACAGGTGTGGCGTGGCCATGTACCTGCTGACATGGGCAGCTGGACATACATGGAGTTCAAAAACACAGCACCGTTGCCCTGGATCCGGATTACCTGTGGAAAAGCGGGACCTCGGTGAGTGTGGCGGGTGCAGCAGTGCCTATCCACCCGCCGCCCCGACCCTGTTCCGCAGCCAGCCCTGGAGGCAGGGCCAGAGGAGGGCTCAGGCTTCTGAACCTTGCTCCAGCTCTCGAACCGCCCAGCGGGGCACGGGGCTCTAAAGAGGTACGTGCAAGCCTCTGATGGGCGTGGCTCTGTCTCCAAGCTCTGCCCCCTTCTCCCCATCTCTGTTGTCTCTGTGGCTCCCCCTCCCCTCCCCCTTGCCTTGAGGCCGGCTCTCACCATGTCGCCACCATGCAGGCTGAGCACCACGGACTTGAGGCAGCTCTCGGTGTCTGTCAGGCCGCACCTCCGCAGCTCGGCCAGCACAGTGAAGGTGCTGTCAGCACACCTCTAAGAACAAAGCCACAGACGCGCTGAGGACGGCTGGTCCCCGAGGGGCTGAGCAGGCCTGTGGCACCTGCAGGCACCTCTGGGTCTCCAGCCACTAGGCCACTGTGAGCCCAGGTCCTCCTCCCTGACAGGATGTGGCCACCATGCTGGCTGCCACATGAGGCCCTGCAGGGGACAGGAGAGGCAAAGGGCGAAGAGCTCTCTGGCGCACCTTGGACAGGATGTAGCTGCAATCCCCGTGCAGGTCATAGAGCTTCTCGTCGTAGGTAGAGATGTGGGCGCCCCCCTGGACAGAGCAGGTGCCTGGGCACGGGAGGTCCTTGCACTGCCACCGTCCCCTGGAGCAAGTGCTGGGGGCAGGGGGACCGTGAGGGGGGTGCGATGGAGGAGGCAGACCCCAGACCTCATACACCCCCAACCCCCAGAGGAGGGCCAGCAGGGTGGGTAGCCAGTCAAAGTACCAGGAGCTGCAGCTAGTGGTGAAGGCAGCCCCCGGGGCATAGGTCCGGCCCAGGTGGGTGCAGGAGCACTGCTGCAGGGGCACGCAGCCCAAGTGGGTGACATCATCCAGCACAGTGCCTGGGGGTGGCAGGAGGAGGGACTGCTCACAGGGGAGGGGCAGCCACAGAGCAGCCTATGGAAGCTGGTCACTGCCTGTGACCATTTGTCTCTGAGAAGGGGAACCTGAGGGGATAGGCCATCTCCTTGCCCTCGCTGAGGGGACTCCTTGGGGACGGAGCACTGGACCTGGAGTCTGCCCTCTGCCCGAGCTTCTCCGTCACTCAGTTACCAGCCCCTCCTGCTCCCAGGGGCCCATGCCTCTCGGATTGGGTCAGCACATCTCCTGGGTCTCTTAACCCCCAGCCCCCACCCTGGCTTTGGACTCTGGCCATGAGTGAACCACTGAGGGAAGTGACTCCAGAACCATGGAGCACAGCCAGCGACAGGCACTGGGAACACAGTGGCCCCAGGGGCAGGACAGTCCAGGAGAGGGGCTCAGGGCTCGGTGGACCTGCCTGGAGGACAGAAGCAGCCATCCTCACAGTGGTCCTCACAGAGCTGGGTACGCTCAGGGTTGGAGCAGGTGTCGGCGCAGGGTGAGCCGCACTCCAGGTGCTGCATGCCCTCAGGGCACGTCTGGGCTGCGGCCGGAAGGAGACAGCGAGGAACTGGGTCAATCCCGGGCCCCTGCCCCACCTTCCGTGTGCCACAGAGAGGCCCCCTGAAAGCCACGGCTGGGGCCTGAGGAGCAGGCAGACACCCCCGTGCCAGGCAGCCACCTGCTGGGTCAGGCGGGAGACCTGGAGAGCCCAGGGCTCAGCACCTCCTGGATCAGCCCTCCCCCTGCCCCCCAAGGGCCCAGCTGGCCCACACACGGCCCTCCCTGCCACCCTTCTCCCCCGCCTGCCCTCTCACGCTAGCTCTGCCTGCCCTGTCTCCCCCTCCCACTCCCCCCGTGGGACACGCACGGCAGAGGTTGGCGGTCCTCCAGTTCTGTGGCTGGCCCCCTGCGTGGGCACACTGGCGGGAGTACTCGGTGAAGGTGGAGCATGGGCAGCTGGGGCAGCGACACAGGTCCTGGGCACAGGAGGCCACGTACGGGCCAGGGTCCACCAGCATGTTGCACTGGGTGAAGGCGGGGCCGAGCAGGGTTTGGAGGCAGATGTCTTCCTGGGGAGACAGTGGGGAGCACTGCAGAGAGGCTCTGCAGCCCCTTCACCCACCCCAGAGAGGATGACCATGCCGCCATGCTCTAGAACCCTACCACCCTGTAGCCCTTAGCCAGGCTCGGAGCCCCCTTCCTTCCCCTGAGGTTCTTCCCTCCCTCTTCTCCTTCCATTCACCCTTTGTTCCATCCCTCCCTCTATCCATGCATCCATTAATCGGCCCATGCATCCATCCAACCGTCCCTCCAACCATCCATCTATCCATCCATCTATCCGTGTATTCATCATCCGGCCAGCCAGCCATCCCTCCATCCTCCATCCCTCCCTCCGTCCCTCCAGCCAATTGTCCATCCCTCTCCCATCCATCCCTCCCGTGTATTCATCATCCATGCATCCAGCCCTCTAGCCATCCATCCATTAATCAGTCCGTCCATCCGTCCATCCTCCATCTGTGTATTCACCCTCCCTCCCTCCCTCCAGCCATCCATCCGTCCATCTCTCCCTGCACCCATCTGTTCATCCATCCATGTATTTATTATCATCTCTCCATCCATCTTTCTCTCTCTTAGTCCCTTCCCCTCTCCCTCCATCCCTCCACCTTCCCACCCACCCACACACTTACATGCTGTTAACTTGCCTTTACTGGGTCCAGAGCTTGGCTTGGCTCTGGTGGAGCTAGCCGCAGGGAGTGTGGCTGTATCCTCAGCCACCTCGGGTGGAGAGACCCTGGCCCTCTTCACCTGGACATCTTGGACCCCTGCCCAGCTTCCTTGGCCCTGCCCACAGCCATCTAGCTGTTCCCACTCTAGGAGGCCCTTGGAAACACTCACTCTTGTGTCTGTGCAGTTGGTGGCCAGGGTGGGCAGTGGGTCCTGGCACTGCTCAGTGGGCCCATCCAGCTTCTGCAGGTTCCCAAACTGGAGTGCTGTCAGCCTGACATCTGTAGGGAGAGGACGTGCTTGGGGGCCTGGGTGGGGGCAGTGTGGGAGGGCACCTGGTCCTCAGGCTGTGGCTGCCAGGGCCCCATCCCTGCTCAGGACCCGGGGGCCCTCTGGAGCCTTGTCTCCTCCTGGTGCCCTGCCCCCTTGGCCTGTGGTCCCAGCAGGCCAGGCTCCACGTGGGCTCCCTTGGACTGTCAGGAAGGTGCTGGCCCTGGGCAGACACACTCACTGTGGGCGTAGAACTCGTTGGCCACAGGGAGGCCATTGAAGTCCCCACACAGGCCGCACGTCTGGTTGGCGTACTTGGGGTCCAGCTCCAGCTGAGGGCACAGTGGACTACTTGAGAGCACAGCCTCTAGCTCCATGGCTCCCCTGCCTCCACCTGAGGCATGCCCCGCCTCTGCCCCATTCCCCCACCAGGGTCGGTGGGGTGCTCACCAGTGCACTGTCCTCTTCATTCCAAAAGAAGGTCAAGACCATTCGGACGCTGATCTTGAGGGAGCTGCTGCCACGCTCCACCAGGATGCCGGCACGGCTGTAGGGCAGCTCCTCTCTAGGACAGGAGAGCTTTGTTCCCCATGGCCGGGACCCCACCGGCTGCCTTCCTCCCACGACCCGCCTTCCTCCCACCACCTGCCGTGCAGGCTGCCATCCCAGCCCACCGCTGCTCACCGCTGCCCGTCAACAAGCACCGAACCATTGGACAGCTCCAGCACTACTCCCTCCACCTTGAGGACGATGCGGCTGATGGTGGGCATGGCGCCCTTGAGCTCACGGCGCACCTGGATGTTGAAGTCCTCATAGGCGGCGCGGCAGTGCGAGGCCAGGACGTAGTTGCAGAGGCCGGGGAAGCGGAAGATGTCGCCGTCGAAGGTCTTGTAATGGAAGTCGCCCCACGTGCTGCAGACCCGCCCATTGTGCGCTGGGTTCAGGGCTACGGGGCAGGGGTGGGGGCGGGGCAGCAGGGACTGTCAGGAGGCCGGATGCCCACTGTCCTCAGCCCACCTGCTCAAGGCCCCACAGACACCATTAGGGGAGCGTCTGGAGGAGTTCCGCTGGGATCAGAGGGAGGAAACCCTGGGAACGCCCTCATGGGCAGAGCTCTTGGAAGTTGTTCCACGTGCAGCAGACCCACGCACGTTGTGTGCCGGGTTCAGGGCTGGGGGTGGGGCGTGAAGGGCCACCTGCCGACACCACCTCCCACCCTGCTCTGTAGGGGATTCCTGGAGATGGCCCCGTTCCTGAAGCAGGTGACCAGATGACTGCCTTGCTCTGTGCTGGCTGCACCTGGCCTGGCCTCCATGGAGCCAGCCCGGATCTCTGCTGAGACACCCACTCTGGTCTGGCCCGTGGCCCACTGCCTACCTGCACCCTTGCATGTGACACCCATAGGATCGTCTGTGGGAAGCCCTCAGGGCCTGCTCAGGCCCTCCAGCTGCTGACCACCCCTCCCCACCCCATGAGGCTATGCCTCCAAGCCCATGACCCCCTCACTGTCCACTTACGGCTCAGACTGGGCAACACAGTGATGGGTGGGATGAAAGTCACGTGCCGGGCAGGTGAGAGTGTGGACTGGGCTGCAGAGTGAGGGCTGGGTCACCTGAGGACCAACCAGGAGCACCGCCCCAGACCCCTCAATGGCCACACCCGGGGCTGGTGCCATCCAGACACTCTCATCCCTCTGGGGGTCTCCCAACTGTCCAAGATGTGGTCCTGCCTGGGAGGGCGCGTGCATGTGTGCGTGCATGTTTGTCAGCATGAGTGTGTGGTGTTTCACATGTATGAGTGTGCATGTGTGTGAGTGCACTCTGTGTATGTGAGTGCATGTATATGAGTGTGAATGCATGTGTGTGAGCACATGCATGAGTGTGTATGTATGCATGTATGTGAGCATATATGTGAGTGCATGTGTATGTGTGAGCGTATGAGAGTGTATGTATGGGCATATGTGAGTACATGTATGAGTGTGAGTGCGTATGTGTGGGACCATATGTGTGCACGTATAAGTATGTGTGTTAGCATATGTGTTGTATGCATGTATGTGAGTGTACGTGTGGAGTTATGCGTGTGTGTGAGCATATGTGTGGGTGCACGTGTGTGTGTGAGTCTGTGTGAGTGCATGTGTGTGTGGTGCCTGCACGTCTGAGAGTCTCTCTGTGAGTGCATGTGTGTGACCAAGTGACTGTCTGCTCTGTGGTGATCACGTGCTGGAGTTCCCCATCACTCCTCTCCCACCCCGCACTGTCCTGGCCAGAAAGTGTCCAGGAGGGGACGTGGAATGAGCTGCAGTCCCGTGGAAAGGGATTCTTCCCCGCAGTGCCCACCCCAGCTCCCCTGCCCATGTGATGCCCAGGAGCCCTGCTCCCAATGTGGCCTTGTACCACGTCCCCACTCTGACCGTCCGCCGTGGCCTTTGTGCTCAGCCGGCTTGGCTCCACGAAGTCCTGGATCTCTGCAGGGGAGAGGTGGGTGCGAGATGAGTCACCCCTAGTGGCAGTCTGTAGGTGCTGGGGGGCTGTCTCAAGGCTGGACCATTGTGCACACCCCTCCCATCCTCTGTGAGGCAAGCAAGGCCTCACCGCGGTGGGAGAGAGCCCGTCCAGGCTTCACGGGCTCGTGCTGACCCCCACCCTCCCTGACTGAGTCAGTGAAGAAGGCGGAATCAGGAAAAGGCGTTGGCCTGTGGGCCCCAGCACTTCAGGGAGGGTCAGCCCCCTCCCATGTGTCCCCCAGGAAGGGACAAAGGCTGCTTTGTCGAGGGAAGGATGCCAATGGGGGGTCACAGGCATGACTTAGCAGAAACCTAAGACCAGGTCCAGCCTGTCGTTACAGAGTCCCTTCCAGCCAAGGGAGGCTGGCCGTGGCCCAGCATGTGGCCACTGTCCATCACCTCCAGCCAAGGCCCGTGGCTGGGGGTGGATACAGGAGTCTGGAGGTAGCCTGCTTGCCCGGCCTCCACCCCTGGTGATAGGCCTTTGTTTTCCTGCCCAGCTATGGGTGGTGACCCACCCTGCACATAGGCAGCCGTGCCTCCCAGAATTTCCTCCTCACATCCGACCTGAGGTCCCTGTGGCATGGCAAGGCTGGTGCCCCTGAGTGTCCCAGCAGCCAGCCCTGTGCCTCTCACTCACCAGGCCCTGGGGAGGAGGCATCCCTGGACCCAAGCCCCACTCTGCAGCCCCCCCACCCCCATCCCCCGGTAGGTTCCCACTTCCTGTTGCCCTTTCCCAGCCATGACCTGTGCAGCTGCAGGACCGGCCTGAGCACCCATCCCCAAGCATGGGCACAGCCACTCCCTCACTCCCTGACCCTGTAGTGGACGAGAAGGGTTCGCGTGGCTGCAGCCACATGGTACCCTCCTCGGTTCAGCCACCATGAGCTCTGTGCAGACCCTTGAGAGGTGTCTCCAAACTCCCTGCCCCCATGTGGGGGGGCTCTTTCCCCTGTGCACCCAGTAGAGACAAAAGGCCCAGGACACATCCCAGGGCTCGGAGGCTCTGTTCCATGCCCAGCTGTGCTGGCTCCAAATGGGTGCTGCATTGACCCTACAATCAGACAGCAGCGAGTAGGGGCTGTGGGGTCTTGGGCCAGCCAACCCCATACAGTGACTGGAGCCCAGACCACGCGTAGCCAGGAAAGGCCCAGACGTAGTCGGGGACACACAGCCATCCTGGATAAACTGGTTTCCAAAACTGCTGTTCCCTGGGGGACCCCTGGCCCTGGGCCTTCCCTGAGAGCCCCTTTCGAGAAAGGGATCAAGCAGACTTGGGCAGGGGGCTCTGAAGAGACTAGTCAGGCCCCTTTAACGGGCCATGCCTGGGGCCTGTGCCCCCACCCGCCCAGACCCCCTATCTGTGGCAAAGCTTCTGAGGGCTGGAAGGAGCAGAGCCCAAAGACATCCAGGCACCGAGGTCCCAGGTCTGGCCTTGTCAGGGTGCACTTGGGAGCCCTGGGGCCACATCTTTCCCAGTTGACAGTAGGTATTAGTGGCCCATCCCTGAGCCACTAAGTGCCTCCGGGCCCCAGAGACAACAGACGGAAACAGAAGGAAACCGCAGGGCTTGAGGGCAGCGCTTGAGGGCCAGGTCGCCAGCTGAGTCTCGGAGCACGGGGCCTCCCAGCAGGACGGCACTGCTGAGCCCCCTGGCTCTGGCCGTGTGACCATGGGCAAATCACCTCACTGGTCCAGCCCTGTCCCCGGCTCGTGGAGCAGAGCTGGCATCCACCCTGCAGGGAGGCTTATGGCAGCCCCAAGGGGCCAGCTCGAAGGCGGGGACCCCCTCACTGTTACTCTGGCTGGCGGTCTGGGGAGGCCACGGCCTGTCCACTCTGGTAGGGGACCCCTCACCGGGCCGCTCCTCCTGTCCCATCCCAGGGCCTGTCCAGAAGCCCAGGGACCCAACCTCCCCAGACCTCGTCGAGCCAGCCCCCGTCATCCACCAGCAGAGGGGAACAGGCTCAGCCTCTGTGAGGCCCAGGCTGAGAGCACGGTACTTGTGGGTAGGAGGGCCCGTGGTATCCTGGAATATCGAGGGTTGTGTGGAGGATGCGTGGGGTAGGGGGTCTGCCTGTCTGCTCCAGGCTGAGTACCACTGCCACCAAGCTGGAGTCCAGAGGGCAGAAGGGGACAGGAAGGGGCAGGAGGAGGTGCAAGGGGACAGGAGAGGAAAGGAGCGGGCAGGACAGCCACCAGCCTTACCTGCCTGCTGTGCCACCAGCGGGGCCACGAGGACCCAGGCCAGCACCCAGCACCAGCTCCTGGTGCCCATCTCGGGGCTGGCACGGCGCCGGCTGGAGAGGAGGGAGTGGGGCCAGGTGCCCACTGCCCTGGGGGCCAGGGTTTATGTAGCAGGGAGCCTTGGCCCTGCGCCCAGCTCCCAGGCCACATGGGGTGCTGTCCTCCAGCGAGACGTGTGTTTGCTCTTGGGGAGGGACGGCGGACGGGCAGCAGGAGGCAGGGTTTGGAGTTCTGTGCTCAGAAGACGGGCTGCCCCAGGACCCCTCCCACCCCAACAAATCCTGAGAACTGGAGGGGAGGCATCCCGCCTGCTTGGGGGCAGTGCGCAAGCCCAACTTCAGAAGGCAAAGCTCACGGTCCTGCCCCACCGCAGCCCTCCACCTTGGCCTCTGGCGGTCAGCAGGCCATCAGCCTCATAGCCCTGTTCATCTGCACACAGCAGCCCCGCCTGGCTGAGGGGGGGTCAGAAGAGGCGGCAGACCAGAGGCCCCCAACTTGTGTTCCCTAGGAGTAGGAGGGGTGCTGTGAGCTGGCAAGTGGAGGGCTGTGGGATCCTGCTCAGCCTGTGTGTACGTGGCCTGTGGGGGTCCCAGGAGGAGGCCGTCTGTCCAGACAACCGGCCATGCTGGCTAGAGCCCCTCTCAGACCCCAGCTGTCCGCTGCCTGCCTCGAAGTTCCAGCACATGGGGAAACCAAGGCTTGGAGAGCGATGCTCGCCCCTCTGAGAGTCAGCCGGCTCATGTCCACCCCCCTCCCTGCACCACAAAGGGCCAGAGCCTCCGCCCAGGCCCCCTGCCCCCCACCATGATCTGGTTCCTCAGCTGCTGGGAGCAAAGACAGCTGCTGTGGTCCTTGGGAGACATGGGCAGGTGGGGTCATGATGCCGCCCTCACCCCACTGCCATGTTCCCAGGCACCATGGTCCTTGGCTGACATGGGTGACAGGGCCCTGGCGCCACCGTCACCCCGTGCTGTTCCCCAGGGGTTGTGATGGGGAGCATGGGAAGGTGAGCCAAGTGCCCAGAGCCCCTGCCTGGCCTGAAGGGACCCCTGGCCAGCAGCCCCCAGGGATGTGATGGCACCATCTGCTGGGTTCCCTCAGGGTCACCGTTTCCCTCAGCGAGAAACTCCACATGTGTCTCTGGATGCGGGACCGAGAGCCCATTCTTCCCTCTCCGGCCTCACGTGAACTGCCCCTTCTGCTGCTGTTGGCGCATCCTGCTGTGTAACCTCATGGCAAGGCCTGGGGGTGCAAGGTGGTCGCTATAGCCAGCCTGACCGAGGGACGCTGGGCCAGGTGGTTGGCGTTACTGCTCCCTGTGTCCCAGGGAGGAGTGAACTCAGGTGTGGCAAAGGGCTCCATCATGAAGGCTTCCAGCCCCCTTTGCCAAGTGTGTCCTGGTGGCCATGTCCCCAGAATCTTCCAGAAACCGCTCCTTGGAGACACGACAGCTGCAGCAGAGTCTGGAGTCTGCACTGCTTTTCATTTTGTCCACGGATTGATTCTCAAAAGTGGGGTGCACCTGCGAGTGGAGGTGGCCTCGTTCCCAGGGGCCAGGGCCTGCAGCGGGCTTGTGTGGGTCCCCGCTGTGGCTGTGGCCCTGCAGACCTGGGCTGGAGGTGGCTGATACCTTGGGGTGGGCTCCCCACTTACGTCCAGCACTGGTGGTTAGGCTGCCCACCTCCTGGCCCTCCGGGCTGCCGTGTCCAGGGCGAGGGATCCCGGGGAGGGTGTGTGGGGTCTGCAGGGTCCTCTTTCACACTCAGCCCCATTGTCCCCAGCACTGGAGGTGCTTGGGGAGACCAGTAGCCCAGATAAACAGCAGGAACTCAGTGATGCTGGGGGGACGCCTGGAAGGAAGGAAGCGGGATGCCTTTGAGGCACAGCCCAACTCCTTCTCCCAATCCCCCAAGCCACCTTGGACCCTCCTCAAGGCTGGAGTTTGGTCCGTCCACCCGCCCTGACCGTAGCCGGCACTTCCCAGCCTTCACATCCATGCTCAGCGGGCCCCATCAGCTCTTCCTGTGGCAGCCCCCTGGTCCCTAACCCACACACTCACACAAGTCCATGGCTCCAGGCTCTGTTGTCTGTCCTTCCCCTCCCCAGCCCGGGATGTGAGCTCCATGTGGACAGGGGACTAGCCCAGAATTTCCCAGCTGGCACACAGTAGGCGCCCAATCAATGCATTGAATAAAATAGAGATCTAGCTGTGGCCCTTGGCCTTCCTGCCTCGGGCAGAAGGCCCTGGGACATGGAGGGTCCCAGGCCAGTCCACCCTGCTCAAGGGGCCCAGGCCAGGGTTCATAGCAGGAGAGAGGACCAGCCAGTCTGCCCTGTTCAGGCATCCTGGGCCAGGGTTCATAGCAGGAGCTAGGACTGGCCAGTCCACCCTGCTCGGGGGTCCCAGGCCAGGGTTCATGGCAGGGGAGGAGACCAGCCCCTTCTCCCTGGTCCAGCTGGCAGGGTCTTGGCTGTTATGACATCCCGGATGTGGCTGCAGAGCGCTTGGCCTGTTTACTCAGCCAGTTTACCTCTTCACAGTTGAAGGAGCGGAGAACAGAAGATAAAGGAAGGGGAGAGGGGCAGACGGGCTCTTCCTGCTGGGAAGGGGGGGCCCCCTGCCAGGGTGACAGCCAGTGTGCCGGGAACCAGCCCTGCAGCTTTGCCCAGTCCTGGCTGGCCATGGGGGCAGGCCCAGGGCAGCCAGGGCCTGGGCCGGAGAGCCCCATGGGGGCCGATCCTAGCCACACAGCCCCTCCACTGGGCCCAGAGACACCGTCACCGGCTGTCCAGGGCCTATACCTCAGCCCCATGAAGGCCAGGGCTTTGATCAAGGGCTGGCTGTGTGGCCTGCTCTTCCCCAGGGCTGTGAGGGTCTGCGGGAACAGGGCACAGTCCTGGTGGACACATGTCTGGGCTCTCAATGTGTGTGGAGCTCCAGCCCTGCACTGTCTTGGGGGCAGGGGACAGTGACTGTCTGCTGCCTAGTGGCCACAGCAGGTGGGCACCCCCACTTTTCAGATGGTGGTCCCAGCAGCCCTGATCTGTGCTCCCAGGGAGCTCATAAACCCCCTGGGGCAGAGAGGTCCCTGGGTGAGGGCAGGCCTAGGCTTTGGGGTGGCTGGGTCCCATGCCCTTCCCTGACACACTGGGGCAGGTTCCAACAAGACTCAAAGGGACAGGCCAGGTGGTGGACAAGCCCCAGACCCCGACAGGCCCTTCCTCAGCCTGTTTTTCCCTCCTGCCCTGCTCCCCCCACACTCTCTCCCTCCCTCCCTGTCTCCATCCTTCCCTCTCTCCCTCCCTCCTCCCTCTTCCCTCCCTCTTCCCTTCCCTCTCCCTCCCTCCCCTATCCTCCCTCCTCCCCTCTTCCCTCCATCTTTTCTCCTTTCTTCTCTCCATCCTTTCACCCTCTGTCCTTTCCTCCCTCCCTGTCTGTCCTCCCTGTCTGTTCTTCCTCCTTGCAGCATGGTCTGATGCCCAGCTCTGATGGGATGTGCCATTCAGTGCAGACAAGGCCTGTTCTCAGAACAATCAGGATCCAGAGGCTTTGTCCCTTTGGGGCCTGTGATGAGTGTGACCATTCTGGCAAAGCCAG